CTGACTGAGGGGCAGCCCTGGGAAGAGTTCTTTTCAAAGCCCTGGGCCTCAGTTTCCTGGAGGGTACAGTGGGGAGAAGGGAGTACCTGGGGCTGTGGAAGGAATGTTTGTCTCCTCCACCCAGCCCTGTCAGATGTCCCCAAGCAGGCTGGCGCTGGGCCTTGTCCTCATATTGTCCCTCACACAGTTCATCTAGTTGCCAATGTTTACAATGACTGACTATTCCACTTTAAAATCCAGATTTCTAGCATCTCTTGTATTCTTGTTGGGATGCTGTAGGATAAGCCCTGAACTGCTAACCGCAGGGTTGGTGGTTCAAACCCACCAGGCTCTTTCCTTGGAAATCCTATACAGGGTTGCTATGAGTCTGAACACTTAACAGCAAACATCTCTTATAATATCAGAAGTTTTAACTAATGTAGGTAGGATAAGCATTGGATCGAAAGGTCAGTTTGAATTTCAGGGTTGACAGTTCAAATCCACCAGCCACTCCTTGGAAACCTTATACAGGGTCAATAACAAGGAGAAGCTAATGTAGTCCTGTGATCCACCCAGACAACAGCAGACAGCTCTGCAGCGTACCACAACCCTATTGGCCCACCGTGGTGGTTTCGGTTCCCTCCTCAGCTCCACGGATCGAGGCTCCTTCCCTCTGGAGGAACTTCTCCATTGGCCACAGAGCTGCCTGACAGTCCTCACAGGTGTCTCCATTTTACCTGCACAACGTAACCTGTGAGGTGGCCTTTGTGATTGTCCCTCCAAGCTCTTTCATTTGCCAAATGAGGAAACTGAGACCAAACAGGCTAGTTTCTGGCCTCTCTCAAGGCCACAGAGCAAATCTATAAAAGGGCCTTGCCATTTGTGACCCTTGCCCAGGAGGTGGGAAGGTTGAAAAGGAGTGAGTCTTTGGGTAGGAGACAAGCTAGTTTTGCATTCACGGACAGGTAAAGTCCCTTCCCCACGGGAAGAGAGAACTTCGGGGTCCCTTGGACAATGCAGGTGTTGAATGTTGTGACTCAGACTTAGGAGAACCTTGGATAACCTCCTAGCTATTGTGGCACTCTGGGTTAATACGCCAGACTGCAAAGCCGTTTGAACTACAAGGTCGTTGGTTCAAGCTCACCAGCTGCTCCTTGGAAACTGTATACAGCGTCACTATGGGTCAGAACTGACTCAACAGCACTTCACAACAACAACAATTGTAGACTTGAAGCCTAAAAGGGAGAAGGGGTCTGCCTGCCTCAGGGCTGGGCTGTATTTAGGGCCTCCCTGCTGCCCTATCTGTAATAAGGATGGGGCCAGTTCCACTCTTATCTGTGCCTGGTGCTTGAGTTTAGATACGTTCCTTACCCCCGGGAGACCTCATACCCCTAGGAACAAATGCAAGATCTTCACCTTGGGCATGTATTGGTAGTTTAGCCTATGTTGGGTGCTGGTCTAAATATCTGGCATATGTTTCTTTATTTAAATCTCAAAACTTCCCTGCAAGGTAAGTACAGTCCTAGCCCCATTCTCAGGATGAGGACACAGAAGCATAAAAAGGAACATAAACAACTTGCCTGAGGTCACACAGCTAGTGAGCTGCTAGGGTCTCAACCCAATCTTGAACACAAGCAACTGGTGCCAACATCATATCATCGATGTAAAGGTTAAATAAAATCATGACATCGTGATCGTCAAAGAGTAGTTAAGAAAGATAAGACCCAGAAGGGAACACCTCCACGCAAGCTTGGGCAGATGGACACACAGGTAAGAGACAGAGGTGAAGACAGAGTTCTGCTCCTCCCCTCCTTTAGCTCTTTGCTCAGATGTCTCCCACCCGGGGAGCTTACTCTTTTCTTGGCCCTTTATCTGAAATTGCCTGCCCACCTTATCCCCTTCTCAGCTTCCCGTCACATCCAGCACATACCCTGCCCTGCACTCGTGATTTACTTGTTCACTGGGTTGTTCTAACTGCTCTTCCAGTAGAATGGCAGCTCCATGAGGGCAGGGCTTTGACTTAAGGATTGGTTGAATGCCTGTGCAGGGCCCTGAGCGCGCTTAGCCAGGATGTTTGGCTGGGAGGTGAGTTTTCTTGGGAAGGAAGGAGAAGGGGGTCTTGGCACATTTCTTCATCCTCCACCAGCTGGGAGGAGGCTGTTGTGTGTCTCCCTAACTATCTTCCTCTAAACTGGGGTAAGCCTCCCTACACCCACCCCCTCCATCCCCCCATCAACACCCTTCTCCCAGCTAGGCTCTGGGTCCACAGCAGGTGGGAGGGACTGGATGCATGGGCCTCAGCTCCCCTGAGGGTCATCAGATGTGAATGAGCAGGGTATCCCCTGGGCTGGGCACACTCTTGGGGACAACCAGGAGGAACCAGACAGACTGGTTCAAGGGCAGGAACTGAGGCGGCTCCCTGGGCACAGGGCCAGGCCAGCACGGCCAGAAGGAACTAGGCATTCCCACCACTAATCCACCCACTTCATTGCCCAGGGGTTGTGCCTGCTGATCTGGAACCCAGGGCTGGGGCTGGAACCGAATTCCCAACCCGGTCCCTCCTACTAGCAGAATGTCCTCATTTTCTTGGTGGCGCAGTGGCTAGGGGGCTCAGCCCATACTCTGCTGGAGAAAGATATGGCCGTCTGCTTCCATAGTGATGTACAAACTTGGCAACCCTATGGTGTTCTACTTTGTCCTAGAGAATTGCTTGGAGTTGAAATCAGCTCGGTGGCAGTGGGTTTTTAGGTGATTTACAATGAATGCCCTGAAGGTTGCAAATCTCTAATATTCAATTGCTAACTGAAAGGTTGGCTGTTCGAGTACACCCACAGGCACCTCAGAAGAAAGGCCTGGTGATTTATAGTTGTACTCTGAAGTCAGTAGACTAGTTTTCAGTTTGCCTTACCCCAGGTGTCAAAGGACAGCCCTGAGTTCAAACCCTGCCCTTGTCCATTGTTGTTAAGTACCAACGAGTTGGTTCCGACTCATAGAGACCCTGTCTAGGGTTTCTGAGGTGGCGGGTAGGGAGGGAGCCTTGGTTGCACAATGGTTAAATGCTCAGCTACTCATCAAAAGGCTGGTGGTTTGAGCCTACCTTTGGGCTGCTAACCTCAAGGTCAGCAGTTTGATGCTACCAGCCATTCTGTGGGAAAAAGATGACACTTTCTGCTCCCGTAAAGATTCAGTCTGGGAAACCCTATGTAGAGTCACTATGAGTTGAAACGGACTCCACAGCACACCATCACCACCACCAGCAACTCTGAAGGAGAAAGACTCCTAGCGGTCAGTCAGGATGACAGCCTAGGAAACCCCATAGGGCAGTTCTACTGAGTAAGAATTAACTCATCTGCAAACAATGTTACTTAGGAAAGGATTCAACAAAACAAGGAATGGGAAGTCATTCCCTGGTACCTGGCACAGAGAGGAGAGTGCCAGGTGACCACTGGGACCAAGTCTATTTGGATAATACAATTGATTGGTTGCATGAATGCAAATGGAGTCCTGGTGTGGCACTGTAGGATAAGCACTGGACCACAAGGTCGGTTTCAGCCACCGGTTCAGTGGCTCAAACTCATCAGCCGATCCTTGAAAACCCTATACAGGGTCTCTATGAATCAGAACTGACTCGACAGCACTTAACAACAACAACATGAGTCCAAAGCCTGACTTGGACCTGTTGTGATTTTCAGTTCACTGCCTTTTCTCACTTCATTTCCTTTCAATAAGCTGGAACCAGGCAACAGGATGGCACCTGAGACCCTGTAGGAACTTGCTTGAAGTGAAAAGATAATTGTTTGTCTTTGATATGCCCCTTCTCACCTGGGGAAGACACTGTGATCAGCTATAACAGGAACATTTGTTTTCTTTCAGAACAGTGGCCTAACTCAGCTCTGGGGGCATCCTTGGTCACCTCAATGGGTGGAGGAGGCTGGGGGTGAGACCTGTTCTGAGAAACCCTACCCCTGTACAATGGGCCCCCCAAGCTATTGCCTGGCCTACGTGTACTTAGTTATTTGATATTGAGTCCATTCTGACTTATAGTGAACCTGTACAAGGTTTCCAAGGAGCAGCTGGTGGGTTTGAACTGCCAACCCTGTGACTCACAGTCCAGTGCTGATCCTACAGCGCCACACCAGGAGACCTGCTTGTGCTTAGAGGACAGTGCCAATGGGACAGCTGAGGAGAGGCAGCGAGTCTGTCCACTAGGAGGACTGGACAGGTGCCTCTTTGAAAAAATAAAAGCAACCCTTATGTTGCACCCACTATGTGCCAGGCCTTATCTAAGTACTTTATGCACTTAAACTCATGGGTCCTTAAAGTAACTCTGAGGAGGACGTGTGGTCACTATCTCATCTCACAGGAGGCAAGCAAAGCACCGAGAGGTCACACAGCTGGGGAAGGGAGCAGGGTGTAGAACAGGTAGTCAGGCTCAGAGTCCATGCCGTTAACCCTGGTCCCCTAGAAGAATAGGGGCCCATTCGCCACTTGGAAATAGGACAGACAGACCCACCTTAACCTGTATCACCTTCTGTAAGGACAATTAAGAGTCAGAGACTAGGGGGCATGAGGGGTCACCCTGAGGCCTTTGTGACACTTCTCTGCTGTTCTTTGTCCCAGCTCTAGGATGTGCTGGTGATTTGGGCATTCTTGCAGCAGCCGTTACTGGACCCCTCCCGAGGCCAGGTGAAGGTCTTATGTCCTGTCCTGGGTGTCACATGTCACCTAACAGCCACAGCACTGCCCTGGCGAGCTCACGGCTTGGTCTTCCCTGCTGGGCCATGTAGGCACAGAAGAGGGTTCTGGAATCCACACTGGAGGAGCAGGGGTGTCCTGATGCATCTGTTCCCAGCTTAGAACCGAAAGGGGTTAACGTTGCCAGGCGGGACCCCCAGCATAGTGCCTGGCATACAGTAGGAGCCATTTGTTGACTGAGAAGTGCTTTCCTATGTATGGCCAAGGCCTGGGGCCTCTGGTCTGTGGGGGCTCTGGAAGACTGTTGTCCTCTCTTGTCCCTCCAGGTGCTGGGACTGCTGGTGTGGGCCCTAATTGCTGACACTCCACACTACCTGTACCCAGCCTATGGCTGGGTGATGTTCGTTGCTGTCTTTCTCTGGCTGGTGACAATCATTGTCTTCACCCTCTACCTGTCTCAGCTGCACATGAAGTTTGACATGGTGCCCTGGCCGCTGGTGGTGAGTCTGGGCAAGGTGTGGGGATGGCTGCAGACCTAGGCCCTCTGGCTTCTGGGCGTGGCTGACAGGACTCCGTGACCTGTCCTAAGTGAGAAGTGGGTTCGGAATTTCTCTCTGTAGCGGGTATCCTGTGGGGAGCACATGTGGGAGAAGGGTTGGTGGTGTGGGGTTCCGAAACTAGATAAGCCAAGAAGAATGTGGGGGCAGAAGTGAGGGCCTCGCAATTTGATTCATAGGAGACTCTTTTTCCGATCTGGTGGGATCAGGATTCGAGCTAGCGTTGGAGTAGGTCTTTCCAGCTGCAGTTGGAGGCCAGAGTGAGCTGGGGAGAATTACCAGGCTTAGAAGCAGCCCGGCTGTCTACCCAGCTGCCTCTATGGCGAGGGCCCTGAAGCCTCCTCAGGACCCAGGACTGAGCTTGAAAATAAGAAGTACCCGGGTCAGACACAGAGAAAGCTGCTGTTTGCTTTTTTATTTTTCATTTTCCCTGACCTGGAAAACCCCTGCAGCTGGGGTCTGAGGCTTTCAGTGAGCCGAGAGGCAAGAGAGGCACATGACTGGAAGGCACGCAATGTCGGGACTAGGCAGCATTGTTTGGAATTCAAAGTCTTTTTAAACAGAGGAAACGTGAGTCATCCTCAAGACAGACCGGGTTTGTTAGCTCTTGACATCACATTACTAGTGGGTGCTGGGCTTGGAGAGGATCCTGGGGCCAGGAGGAGGCCTGGCTTCCTGTTCACGGTCATTCTTTGGGGTATTTCACATGCACTGATGGGGGCTCCTGCCACAGCTGTGGCTGCCCAGGTGGCAGAACAATGTTCCTTAGGTTCCTCGACCTTTTGACAGGCAGGCAGGCAGGCAGGCAGGCAGGCAGGCAGGCAGGCAGGCAGGCAGGCGGCCCAGAGAGCAGAAATGCACCTGGTGAAGGTTAACTTCAGGCTTGCCAATTTGGGACCATAGACCCCCCACTACAGGGCCCAGGCAAGATAGATGAGTGAAATGAGCTGAGCTGGGAGACCCACCTGTAGTCAAGGAGCAGCCTCTACTCAGAGCCAACAGTGGCTAGTGAAGCTGTGTTTTTTTTTACAGTATTAGATGAAATCTTCAAGATGCTCCTGGTAGTGTAGTGGGTTACGAGTTGGGCTGCTAACTGCAAGGTCAGCAGTTCAAGTCCACCAGGGGCTCCACAGGAGCCAGATGAGGCTTTCTGCTCCTGTAAAGATGTATAGCCTCAGAAATCCTACACATTGTTGTTCTGAGCACAAATTGATTCCAGGGCACACCACCATCAGATGAAATCTTCAGGTTTTTACAGAAAATCTCCCAGATAAAAAATAGTGGTAATTGGGGTGGGGGAGGGGAAGGAAAATATGTCTCCAGTTTGTAATCTCTGGTGAAGACTTTAACTGACTCCAAGGGGTCACATGGTTCTGCTTGTCTGGAGGTGCTGGGAGAGGGGAGGAGTCAGCTGAGGCTGTAAGATTTTCTGTAGGGACCCGTGCCTGGTGCTAATTGTCATCTCAGGGACCATCCCTCTCTAGTGGGAGGCTCAGTATCCTGCTTAGAGTGTTTGGGTGCTCCAGGGGTCTTGCCCCTGGTATTTGTTCTGGGGTGAGTGCTGCTACTGGGAACAGAAAGGGCTGTCGGGGCAGTGTTTGGACATGGCCTCCATGTTTCTGCATCTGGTGTAACCAAAGGAAGTGCTGAGTCATGGGTGGGCCATCAGGAATGGTTTTTATCAGGTGTCTCCAAGTGGCTCCTTTAGGCCTTCTCATCCTCCTCCCTCTATTCATGTTCTTGCTTTGAACCTCCCAGCTGACCCAGCTTGGTGGCAAATGCCTCTTGAAGTCGTTCGGTATGGGGATGGCCCATTCTGACTCCTCTAAGGGGGTGTACTAGAGGGAACCAGGAGGTTCCACCAATGTTGAAACTGAAGCCTGTTTTCCTCCATCACCCCACCAGTTACTGATCTTTAATGTTGGTGCTACCACCCTTTATATCACGGCCTTCATCACCTGTTCCGCTTCAGTTGAGCTGACATCCCTGAAGGGCACCCAGCCGTATAACCAGCGTGCAGCTGCTTCCGTGAGTATGATCCCCTCAGGCTCCCTCAGCAAGTCTACATGGCAGACGGCCAAGCCCCTCAACTCACACTGCTCCCTAGTCTGAGGCCAGGCACCTGCCACCTCCTGAGTAGTTAACACTTGTCTTCAGCGGCTCCTGGAGGAGCATGTGTAATGCACAGGAAAACACTGATGAACCAAAATGCTTGGGAAATGGTTTGTAATGGCTAATGGGATTGTTGAGTCCTGTTGTGGCACCACTGTAGGATACACATTGGACTGATAACCGCAAGGTCGGCAGTTCAAATTCACCCAGACGCTCTCAGGAACCCTAAACAGGATCGCTGTGAGTTGGAACTGACTCAATGGCACACAACAACAAATGAGTTTTTTGGTGAACTGTTGAACTTTGCTGCAAATTATTGTCCCACACAATTTAGGATTAAATACCCTGTTGAGGAATCTGCTAAAAAGCAGGACCCTTACCCTTGAGAAGTATACATTTAAAAACCTTTTGGGTTAAACCATTTTAGGGGATTCAGGTGGTAACTATGTCACTGGTATTTCAAATTCCAGTAGGGCCACCATGGTGGATAGGTTTTAGTGAAGCTTCGAGATTTAAGCCAGGCTAGGAAGATGTGGTCCGCTCCTGAAAACTTAGCCACTGAAAACCTTATGTATAGTGGTGGAACATTGTCTGAAATGGTGCCAGAAGATGAGCCCCGCAGGTTGGAAGGTGCAGTCATCCTTAATGATGTGGATGGAGTAACGCGTTTGGTATCTGCTGCTGTGCCTTAACTCAAAATGAGATGAAATGGCTGCAAATAGCCATTAATAATTGGACAGTGGAATGTATGTATCAGGAAAATTGGAAGTTGACAGAAATGAAATGGAACGCATAAACACTGATATCCTAGGCATTATTAGTGAGTCCCAGTGTGGCACTGTGCGCTACTGCGCTGGATTGCAAAGTCGGTTTGAACCGCAAGGTTGGCAGTTTAAGCTAACCAGCTGCTCTTTGGAAACCCTATATAGGGTTGCTATGGGTCAGAACTGACTTGATAGTACCTAACAACGACTACAGTGAGCTGAAATGGACAGATATTGGCCATTTTGGATTAGATAATCATGATCTATGGAGTCCTGGTGTGACACTGAGGGTTAATGCTCTGGACTGCAGGGTCATTTTGAACTGCAAGGTTGGTGGTTCAGCCACTCCTTAGAAGCCCTATACAGGGTCGCTATGGATTGGAACCAACTTGAAGGCACTTAACAACAATCATGATCTACTATGCCAGGAAATGACAGACTGAAGAGGAATACTGTCACCTTCATTGTCGTAAAGAACAAGATCTATCATGATGTTCAAGACCATCAAAGAATAATACCTACATACCTATATAAGGAAGACCAGTGAATATGACTATTATTCACATTTATGCAACAACAACTAATGCTAACTGAGCCCACTGCCATCGAGTTGGTTCTGATCCATAGTGACCCTATAGGATAGAGGAAAGCTGCCCCAACAGGGTTTTCAAGGCTGTAAACTTCACAGAGCAGACTTAGCTGCCACCTGCAGAGTAGCTGGTGGGTTTGAACCACTGACCTTTCAGTTAGCAGCTGAGCTCTTTAAGCAGTCTACCACCAGGGCTCCTTAACAAAGATGAAGAAATTGAGATCCTTATCAACTTCTAAAGTCTAAAATGGACAATTATGCAATCAAGATGCAATGAAAACTACTGGTGATTGGAATGTGAGCGTTGGAAACAAAGCAGGATTGATAGTTGGAAACTCTGTGCCCTGGTGATACAACTGACACTGGAAATAGCTTTTTCAACAACATATACAGTGACTATACACGTGGGCCCCACCAGATGGAATACACAGGAATCAAATTGACTATATCTGTGGAAGAAAATATATAGAAGCTCAAAATTATGAGTCAGAACAAGGTCAGGGGTCAACTCTAAAACTGACCACCAATTGCTCATATGCAATTTCAAGTTGAAGCTGAGGAAAACTATGAGAGCAAAGTGTACTTGAATTTAGAGATCATCTCAAGAGCAGATTTGATGCATTGAACACTAATGACCAAAGACCAGACAAGTTGTGGGATGGACACCAAAGACATCATACACAAAGAAAGAAGATACTTAAAAATTCAGGAAAGAAAGAAAGAAGACTCTGAAACTTGCTCTTTTCTTCAATGTAGAGTAGCTAAAATGAATTGAAGAAATGATGAAGTAAAAGAGCTGAACAGAAGATTATTTGTTTAAAGAAAAGATTTTAAAGTGTAGCGTGTAAAGACAAAGAATTATAATGAACTGTGCAAAGACCGGGAGTTAGAAAACCAAATGGGAAGAACAGTCTCAGCATTTCTCAGGCTGAAAGAACTGAAAAGTAAAAATCAGTATGCAAGATTGAGGGATTCTCTGGGCAAAAATACTCAACAATACAGAAAGCATAAAAAGAAGATGGAAGGAATATAGTGTCACTGTACCAAAAAGAATTGGTCAACATTCAACCATTTCAGGAGGTAGCATGCAATCAAGAATCAATTCTATAAAAGTCATCCAAGCTACACTGAAGGTATTGGTAAAAATCAAGTTTCCAGGAATAGACAAAATACCAGTTGAGATGTTGCAACAGAAACAATGCTGGAAGTTCTCACTTGTCTATGCCAAGAAATCTGGAAGACAGCTACTTGGCCAACCAACTGGAAGAGAACGAATTTAAAGAAAGGTGATCCAACAGAACATAGAACTTATCAAATAATATCACATGCAAGTAAAATTTTGCTGAAGATCATTCAAAAATGGTTACAACAGTACATTGACTGGGAACTTCCAGAAATTAAAGCCAAATTCAAAGAGGATATGGAACAAGGGATATCACTGGTACTGCCAGAGGATCTTGGTTGGAAACAGAATACCAGAAAGATGTTAATTTGTGCTTTATTGATACTTGTGTGAAATATAACAAATTATAGATAACATTGCAAAAAAGGAATTCCAGAACACTTGATTGTGCTTATGTGGAACTTGTACACAGACCAAGAAGCAGTTGTAATAGAATAGGGGATACTGCATAGTTTAAAATCAGGGAAGGTATGTGCTTGAATTGTATCCTTTCACTGTACTTACTCAGTCTGTATGCTGAACAAATATTTCAAGAAGTGAGACTATATAAAGAAGAATGTGGCATCAGGATTGGAGAAAAATTAATTAACAACCTGCAACTTGCAAATGACACAATCTTGCTTGCTAAAAGTGAGAAAGATTTGAATCACTCATTGATAAAGATTAAAGACTACATACAGCCTTAAGTATGGATTATACCACAACACAAAAAAAGAGAAAATCCCCACAACTGAACCAATGATCATCATTTCAACATAGTGATAAATGAAGAAAAGATTGAAGCTGTCAAGGATTTTACTTAGATTCACAACCAAAGCCAATGGAAGCAGCAGTCAAGAAATCAAACAATGTACGGAATTAGGCAGATATGCGGCAAAAGACCTCTTTAAAGTGTTAAAAAGCAGAGATGTCACCTTGAGGACTAAAGTGTGCCTGACCAAGTCATGGTCTTTGCAGTCTTAACAAATATTTCAGTATGTAAAAGTTGGACAATGATTAACAAAGAATAATTTAGACTTTCTGAATTAAGGTGTTGAAAAAGAATATTGAATATAACCTGGGTTTCCAGAAGAATGAACAAATTTGTCTTGGAAGAAGTGTAGTTAGAGTGTTCCTTAGAGAGGATGGTAAGAATTCATCTCACATACTTTGGACATTTTCTTAGGAGGCATCAGTTCCTTGAGAAGGAAATCATGCTGAAGAGGACGACCCTCAAAGAGATGGATTGATCCAGAGGCTGCAACAGTGGTCACAAATGGATCAGTGACTGTGAGGAAGACTCAAGACTGGGCAGTGTTTTTTCCTCTTGTCCACTGGGTGATTATGAGTCAGAACTGTCTCAATGGCAGCTAACAACAAGGCACTCACAAGATCAAAATTGGGCTCCGAGTTAAGTGGTGTGGAAACATGTCTGACACACCAGCTCCGATTTACTCCACAAGGCCACACATGCATTGTGTCACAAGATGGTCCTGACTCTCCCTTTGAGGAAGAGAAGACAGACTTACAAGTCCCTTTTGACAGGCAAGGAAGCTGAGGCTCAGAGAAGTGAAATATCATGCCTAGAGTCATGGGTAGGATAATATTAGTCAGGCCTTGGGTTTCCTGACCCTTCTGGGTAAAGATGTTTTGAAATCAGTAACTCAGTCACAGGGAAGCAAACATAGAGCTTTTGAATGTGGCCAAAGGTGGAGTCCTGGTGTGACGCTGTAGGGTAAGTATGGGACCACTGTGCTATTTGAACCGCAAGGGTGGTAGTTCAAACTCACTAGCTTCTCCTCAGCAACCCTAAATAGAGTCACTGTTAGTCAGAACTGACTTGATAGCACTTCGCAGCCCGATTCGTAACCACTACGCTACCAGAGCTCCTTAACAACAACAACAAAAGCAGCAACAACAAAGATGTTAGTTTAGTAGTATAAGTGGATTCCAGAAAATTCCTAGGGTGACCATGAATGGCGCCTTGTAAAAAAATTAATTTCCTGATATGTAGCTAGAATGAGCGCTGTAGGATAAACACTGGACTGCAATGTCATTTTGAACTGCAAACTTACCAGCAGCATCTCAGAAACCCTATATAAGGTTGTTATGAGTCAGAGCTGATTGGACTGGCACTTAACAATAACATGTGCCTAAAATAGCTCCTACGGCTCACTCTTATCATATTACCTGGTTTAAGGTTCCTCATAGTCCTTAACCACAATTTGAAATCCTTAACCACAATTTGAAATACCTTTATGTGACTATTAACTATTTCCAGCATGGAGTGTTTGCAATGCCAGAGCCTGGGACCCATCAGCCCCACAACAGTTGATGGAGTATATGGCTATTTGGCTAAGTGTGATTTGGTGTGACCTCTACTTGTTCAGGTTAGTTGTGGGGGCTGTTAATCAAGGTTTTATTTACCTGTGTCTCTCTCCGAGCATCTGGTTGGTGCTGGTTTCGCTGCTCCCCTCTTCCTAGGGTGCCCCTGAGATTGACTCAGCCTTGGTACCCTTCTCTTCCAGTTTTTTTCATGTTTAGTGATGATTGCCTATGGAGTGAGCGCCTTCTTCAGCTTCCAGGCCTGGCGAGGAGTGGGCAGCAACGCAGCCACCAGTCAGATCGCTGGCAGCTATGCCTAACCCACCCGTGCCTGTGGCCCACTGGGGTTGAAGGCTGCAGCTGGTTCACAATTCACAAGCATGAGGCCTGAGCCCTGCAGGGAGCCACATGGGCTGGGACTATACTTGCTCACCAGACCAGCTCCCACAACTCTAAGAAACAGGATCCTTCCTCTGGTTTGACCCAAGGTGGCTCGGAGCAGGCTGGAAACAGACCAACGGTGGAGACTTCCTCCTCAGCCCCCTTATTCAGGGGAAGATGACGGGGGATCTGGGGTTCTCGGTGTCTCTGCATTGTCTGTAGAGGACATTAATGTCGAAGGCAAGGGTCCACCTTTCTCAACAGCACTAAATGCACTAACAAAGGCTCTTCAGAGTCTCGGCCCCTGACCCACCATAGTGTAAGGCTAACGAGCAACATTTTTCCCAGGGGAGCTGAGCAAATTCATGAAACCTGATTTCTTAAAACACAGTTTCTTTCCCTAAGCCAACATGGCGTATGTAGGAAGAGGATTCCTGTCTGATGGCTGCTCTTTCTTTCCCTGCATTTCAAACATATGTGTTTAAAAACAATCCATTTTAAGCAACAACTCTGTAAGGAAAACCCAGCCAGATTTTCTTTCCCTTCCCTTAACGCCAATGCCAACTGCTTCCTGTTGATTAGGCACATGGGACATGGGATGGAGGGAGGGAAGGAGGGAATCAAGCCCTTGCCTTGGTGAAGTGTCAGGTAAGCTGTTGGTGACTTTGCTGATGCTGTTGGATTTTTGGTTTTCTACAAAAATAAAGATGGAAAACTTAGAGGAACTGTGTTTGTAGATGTGTGTTAACTCAGGGAAACTGCAGTTATACAAAGTTATACAAAGGCCCTAAATGCCCATTGCAGGGAGATTGAAGTTTTGGGGTCATTTAGCACCTGACCTGAGGTAGGGTGACAGGCCGCTTTGCGCCTGCTTTTCTAGAACAGTTCCTGTGTTGGCCACTTATCTCGGCATATGTTAAATAGCTCCCCTTTTTTTCACTTTACTTTGAAAAGTACCCCAGTGTATTTAGTCACCCTAGTTTCAGGCAAGTTAGTTAATTTTATGGACTTTATTATTTCAGTGCTATCCGCTGGAACTCCGGGGGTGACGCAGTCCCGTGCAGCGCCTCTCAGGTCACCGGTTCTTATGTTCCCCACGCAGAGCTGTATGCTCAGGTGGGGAAAGCAGGCAAGTCCTGCGAGCTGAGCTTTTTCAATGCTGAAAACCACCATTCTCATTCAATTAAGACAAAGCTATTCAATCTTGTTTTTTGTTTAAAACAACACACAAATTGGAAACAGTAAAAACACTATACTCAGGTAGGTCTGAGCTACTCCATTAGTAACCAATGGAGAGCTCATTAGGGTACTCCTGGTCCCAGTTTGCCTGAAACAGGCTAGGTGCCATCGAGTCGGTACTGACTCATAGGGACCCGATGCATAACAGAACGAAACACTGATTCACAATCATTGCTACACTTAAGCCCATTGCATCTCCCATTGTATCTCGTTGGGGGATGTAACTCTTTTCACTGACCCTCCACTTTACCAAGCATGATGTCCTTCTCCAGGCACTGGTCCCTCCAGACAATATGTCTGGAGTATGAGAGACGAAGTCTGCTCATCCTGGCCCTTAACGTGCATTCCCGCTGTACTTTATGCTTTCTGGCATGTAAACAGCAGTCTTTTTGTTTACTCTTAAGCGTATCAGTTTGAGCAATAAACAAGGAATACCAATGTATTTTCTCTTGAGGCTTGAGAAAACCAAATCCTAGCCAAGCTAGGAAGGGGTCCCCAGTAGCACACTGGGTTATGAGTTGGGCTGCTAATCACAAGGTCAGCAGTTTGATCCTACCAGCCATCCCTCGTGAGAAAGATGAGACTTTCTGTTTCTGTACAGATTTACAGCCTCAGAAACCCTGTACAGTGTCACCATGAGTCAGAACTGACTCCACGGCACACAATAACAGCACCATCTCTACCAGGTAAATCAGGGAACTTGTCCTCCCCAGCCTATTTCAGGGGAGGCACCCATCAACATGGTCGGTTCAGCGGTGCCTGAACCAGTCCTATGACTCTGCATTTGGCTAAATGCTGCTGCCCAGAGATCAGGAGTCCTAAGCAATAGAAGGCAGGCACATGTCTCCTGAGACTGGGACAGGATGTTCCATTTTCTCATCTCGGGCCAGACCCCCATCAAAGGGCACATGGCGTCGCATTCTTTGGATGTGTCAGTGAATAGCAGAGTTTTAGCTTTTTTCCTAAATAAATCTGAAAACTAGCTCCTAACTAGTGAAGCTACAACAGGTTGGCTGGCTTGCTTCTGAGTATGAAGGGTGAAAAGAACAGTTTGCCTTTCTTGCTTCTTTTTCCTCATTTCATGTTTACATTTGTCTCCCCACCTTTTCTCAGCCAGGCAGACTGCAACCAACAGGTCTCTCTTCTAAGTGCTACTTCTAGCACATCTGGTCTGCGACCATCAGGCACATTTATGCAGTAATCAAGAAGGGACACCACACCCAGGACAGGTGACAAATTAAGAGTGCCTCTGCCCGAGAAGGCACCAGACAGGGATAGTCCGATGGCAGCAACGCTCCGGGAAGGCGTCTGCTTTAGAATGATGCTCTAGTGAAAGACCTTGAATGTTACTCCTGGAACAAAAGTGTTTCTTATGTGTCTGTCACACATCAGCACTGAAAAACACAGAACCTACAGCTCGTCCTTCAGAACAGCCAAGTGAGAAGTCAAAACAGAATTCTATTTTTATTAATTGAAAAACAAAATCAAAGGTACACAGCAGGTGTTTTTTCTCTTTAGAGATGTGATGTACATGTCTTCTGGTC